GTTTCAGGTACACAAAGCAATATTAGCAACGAGGTCGCCGGTGTTTGCCGCATGTTTTGAGCACCAGATGAGTGAGTCGCAGTCGGATCGTGTTGATATTGATGATGTTGAGCCGGAGGTGATGAAGGAGATGCTGCGATTCATGTACACCGGTACGGCGCCCAATCTTGATCGTATGGCCGACACTCTATTGGCAGCTGCTGACAAATACCAGCTTGATAGATTGAAGGTGGATATTTCGAACCCTCCACCAAAAGATTTTTTTTTCGACACGGTCTAAAAGTTTTAATATTAAAACTGGTTCACTGAACTGAAATTCTCCAGGAATTCTAAAAACTCCAGAACAAAAAAAGATTACTTGCGATCATAAGACCGGACGAAATTTGCGAATTTAGGATTTCACAATTTCAGTCCATAACTCCCAGTATGCTGAAATGGAGAAAGAAAGATATTTCTGTGTCCTCCTCGTGGAAATGTAACTTTTTGCAGGTAATGTGCGAGCAAGCGCTGTGTTTAAATTTGACGAATGAGAATGCCTGTGAGACACTGATTCTTGCCGATCTGCACAGTGCTGAGCAGCTGAAACAACAGGCCATTGATTACATTGTATGGTTTTTTTTCTTTGCATAAAATGATTGACTGAGGATGCAAAATATTGCTCAGAACCATTGGTGGGGGAACAACAGTTGCCTGGTCTATTTCTTTTTTTCTGGTAGGAAAGTACTGTTGGTGTCCGAGATGATTCTCAAAAAATCTTTGGAAGAATGAGTTGTCAACGGTATTTCCAATGGCTGATAGCAAGGTGGCTCTCATTTGAGATTTTTTTTTTAAAGAAAGCACTTTCCATTTCCCCTTCCCCCCGCTCCCCATAGATTTAGAGCTAAATTTCATTTGCATTGTTTTGCAAGCATTTAAGAAAAAAAAAAAACATTTGATAGCATAGGCTTAAGCACCGTGCTACGAGCTCTTGTAGTTGGAGAAACTTTCTGACATTAGTTGACTCCGGGTTGAGAATTTTGCATTAGGTATATGTGGCGATTTTTCGTGATTATTGAATAAGTTCTAGTTTTGCGCAGATGCAAAAACGCATATTTCTATTCTTGAATTTTTTCAACGGTTTGAATTTTGGGGGTTCAAAAAATTGATGTGAAATTGCACTTGCGCTAGCTTTAGAAATTTATCCGTTCTCTCAAGTAGTGTTATAATGAAGTACTTATGTCTGGGTTATTTAGGTTAGACGATTTCGTGATCTAGTGAAGCACTGTCAGGTAAACGGTTTAACAATCCTAGTTGACAATCACAGGTGGGCTTTTTAGGAAGTTTTTTTTTCCCGGAACAGCAGTCGAATTTCGAGTTTTTGCTTTTTATGCATTTTGTACTGTGTAACAGCTGCACAAAACACATATTGTCACGCATCCGTC